TTGCTTGGCGCACTGGGGAGCGAAAGCCAGCCGGGATCTGCGAGTGCCTTCGGCTGCTGGGGGTGCGGGGGAGAGACCTCGCATGGGAGCCATTACTGTGGCTTAAGGAGGCGAAGATTGGCTGTACAGTGGCAGCAAGATCTGAGTGGGAAGAGAGAGAAGCTCTTGGTACCTGTGGTATTGCATTCAGTCAGAGAGAGCTCAGTGGATTTTGAAGAGTTGTCTGTCTCTGTGGTGCTGGAGTTGTTCTCCAGTAGCTGGTTTTAGCCTGAAAAAGCTCTCATTGTATAGTAATCTTTTTTCCAAATGTTTCACAGGCTGTTGATAAAGTTACCTTAAGGGTAGCGAGAATGAATGCTGAGTGGTATTTAAAGTGTAAAGGAGGTAACATAACTTCTGCAAGTTAAGTAGGGTTAACTAAAAAAAGTGAAAATTCCTGCACTACTCAGCAATTGGAAGAGCATTATTCAAGCTGGATTGTAGTATATAGCTACTTTACCCCATAGTATTTGATCAAGTTGTTCTCTGTAAACATAAAGTACCTTAGAAAAGGGAAAACTCAATGCTGTTAATTTGGCTGATTAGAATGGTTGTCAGTCTGAGAACTATAGCAAATACTGAATGATCGTAAATGGAGGGTGCCCTTCTGACTGCTTCAAGAGGAGAGGTCGTAACATCATAGATATCACTTTGCTGTTTTTTTTCTTTTTTTTCCCTTCAGATAAACAAGGTCTTCCTGGATCATGGTTTTTCCTGCTTATGCGTGCTGTTCTGTTCTTGCTATGTGAAAATACTTTCCTCAGTTTTTCCAATGGAAATTTTAGCATATATTCATTTTAGGTGATAGTTTATTTGTGTCAGGAAAACGAGTGGCCACAGAAAAGGAGTGGAAGAAAATTAAGACAGTACTGGCTAGCGTAACGGACAGCTGAGTGAGTTAACATACTTTCCATGATCCTTTTTCCATCTGTCAGGGGAACTTTTTACAGGAGTGCTGTGATAAACAAGTAGGAATGTCAAAGTCTTCTTATCGAGTAATAATTTATGGGGTTTTTTTTCCTTTTTAATTGTAAAGATCATAAAGTACAGGTAGCCTCACCTCACTTACAAAGATACTTTAAAAACCAAACCCCAAATCTGGAATGTTTTTGTCAGTGGTGTTTCATTTCTTGAATTTTACTTATGTGATGATTAAATAAATGCTATTAAGATGGCTATGTAGGCATTCTAAGCAATAGACACTTGGCTCTAGTTAGCCTCTAAATGCTTTTCTTATATCTTCAAAGTGGGGAGCTTAAGGTTGTGACCAGTGGGTTTCAGCTTGGTGGCCTGAATTTGGTTAATTTTCCTGTGTTTTTACCGGTCAATTTTCTAAGTGTTACCACTTTGTTAATTAGGCACTGCTAATCTTCTCTGACTCATGCTTGCTTGTAAGTCATCAGTGTGTCTTGTTAGCTTTATCAGTTTTTTTTTTCCCCAGCCTGTAATCACAGTCTAGGAATGTGATTTTCCTCTGCCTTTTTTACTTCTCTAGGTAGATGGAAAATTCCACCAAGCTCTTACCACTGTTACACACTTCATATAGGTGCAAATATTTATGCAAGGTACAAGGTGAGGAAAAAAAAGATGATGCTGGTTTATCTGGAACAAAGTTCGCAGGGTGAATGCTAAGTTAGTGTTACTGAATAGCATGTCCTGTTGTTTTTTAGAAACTTGATGCCAATGATACTTTACCTACTAACGAGTTTGAGAAAGGGGCTTTGTAGACGTGAAACAATTTGGCAGTGCTACATGTCTATCTTGAACTGATGTTCTAGTAAGTGCTCCTAAGGATTCTTTTTTTGGCCTCCTTAATGTGAAACATGACTTCTTCAGTTCATCTGGGATAAGTACGAAGGACTGAAAGGGGCGCATAATCACTTTGAGTTCAACTATGGAATTGTACAACTTTTCTCTTGTAAACTCTATATAGCACAAAACTGAAACATGGTTTATCACTTGCTAATATCATTAGTATGTTAATGTTCTTTAGCTGAACAGGTTAAAAAGATATCTTTTAGGGGACTTAAATCATAGTCTTTCAAAAGCCATACAATGACACTTAATCTCTTGAGTGAAATCTAAGTTTGGATTAAAGTTCTGTATTACTTTTTTTTGGTATTGTGGTAAAAGACATGTCCTAGCACAATAAGTTTAGCAACATCTGCAAAGGTAATGTTTCCAAGAACTGGAGAATAACATGTCCACTAAAACATCTACTTAGTGACAGACAATCTTCATCAAGTTCTCAGTAGCAGGTGTTAAGTCAGAAGTTGACAGTCCTAAATGTTATATGATATTGTACAGGTTGTTTGCTTTGTATATGAACATTTTCAAGTTTGAGTTGAAAAAGCCTTCAAGCAGTCCTAATTGCTCTTGTATTTAAGTAACAACTATAAGAACCAGATGAGAGGTCCAAGATGTTGCTTGTCGGTGTTCTGTTGAAGCATTTGGAAAGCCATTGGAATGTAATAGTATTCAAACTATCTGCTTCACATTCTTTGTTCCCGTGCTTTGAAGCAGTCTGCCTAAGGATTAATACTAATCCTCGTATCAGAGCTTAGGAGAAAAAAATATTTTTGTGTTAACAAGTGATGGATTCTCTGATGGATATTTATGTTTTCGAAGTATATAAATATCATATATTTATGAGCTTCTAATGTTTTAGATGAGTTTCAGAGTGATTGCAAAAGATTTTCTAATGACTTAGCAAAAGTAAACTAGAGGGTACAGCTCCTGTTCTAGAGGTTTTGACTGAAATTTTTAGAAGGACCTTAGTTGGATAGTGTTGGATAGATAAAATGGTGTTTCAGCTAGCTTTAAGCCTTAACCATTAATTTTTAAGAAGCAGTCATAAATTGCAGATCTTATTTCTGGTTCTCCTATGGCCAGCAGGGAATGTCAAAAATCTTTATTTTGCATGAGACTACTCTGAAAAGTGTAGAATGATGCAGCTTTCATGAGGGATGAGAGCCAAAAAGGAAATTAATAAAGAATACAGTGGTGGACCTGAATAATCTTCCTTTCTCATATAGCCACGATATGCTTGTCTGTCTAGTATGATACTAACAGAACCATCTCTTCTCCTTTTAATAGCTACATACTATTTATCACACACTAGCTGTTACGGAGGTGTTCCAAAAATGGAGTTGCTGACATTGCTTTGGAAATGGTAGCTGAGTTGAATTCTCATCACCCTCTTACTGTCCGGGGAGGAGTGGAAGTACAAGGCTTCTCATTGGGCATGTAACTCCAGGCTATTATTTTTTCATCATCAGTTGTTGTTATTGCCTATCATATCTAAAACACTAAATCAGAAATGCAGAAATTTGAAGTCTTTAATACTGGCGCCTGCTTTCTATGTGTGTGTTCCTTAACTAGAAATAGAGCAAGCTGTCCGATTGTTGAGAACTTGCATTAGGTGGAACTGAGCAAATTGCCCAACCCTATGCAAAGAATGAAAGTTGCCGAGGAGACAAGGAAAAACAAAAAAACCAAACCAGTTGCTGGCAGGTCATCCTAAAGGAGGGAACAGTTGAAACAAATAGCCTGGAGAAAGAACAAAACGGGGGGGGGGGGG